CATGATACCACTCCAGCCAGTCAGATTAAGGCACACTGATTAGGGGGAGTAGGGTGGGTCTGGGTGGAGTGTCTTTAATTAGTACTCAGACTACTCTGAATGGGCCCTCAAGCTACATGAGAGCCTGCAGGGCAGAGCTCCATTACCTGGGAGGAGGTGTGCTGTGAGTGCAGCCCTGGTGTTGGTACACACTGCTTACCCCTCCCCCCTCCCCCCAGCTCTTTTCTCCTACCTTGTGTTCTGACTGGTGATCTATCCTCAGTGGGTTCAGTTGACAAGAGTATGGAACAGGAATTGGGTTTTAACACTTGCTCTTTTTTCCCCTCTAGGTTCTTGTCTTGCCTGCAGTGCAGTGGTGTCATAATCACAGCTTACTGCAACCTTCACCGGGATCCTCCTTTGTCAGTCTACTGAGTATCTGAGATGACTGATCATCTCTGGGTAATTTGTGGTGTGTGTGTGTGTTTCTGATATAAAGACAAGGTATTGTCTGGCCCATCTGGCATTCTGGGCTCAAGCAATCCTGTCATCTCAGCTTCCTGAAGCCCTGGGATTACCGCACCCAGTGAAATTCCCCGCCATGGTTTTCTCTCTGGTTAAATTTCTCTGGTTTAACTTTTATTATCTTGTGTTTTTCAGGGGCTGATCATTCTACCCTTGATTTCAAAGTGCTGTGGTAAAACCCTTCCACCTGACAGCTTGCTGTCTCAACCTGTGGCACTCAAACTGTGGGGGCACTTTTCTGGGCTAGGATGGAAGTGCCGCCACGTTTTGAGTGTTGCCGATTGGGAACCTTCTGGGAAAAGTTCTTCCCTGTGGGTCAGAGGGTCCCTCTCATGGGAAGAGAGGTCCAGCTCCTGGTCTGCATAAACTTGGTCAGGTTGTCCTTGAAGTTTCCTGGACTGAGTCCTTCAGATGAGTCTGCTCATCTGTGGCACTCAATTGTGGAAGCACTCTTCCGACTTGTTCTGGTGAAAAGTGCTGCAACATTTGAGTGTCACGGGGGTGCCCGTCCTCCCAGGAGCTGTGTCCCATGGGAGCTTTGTAGCTGTCCACAGGAATGAAGCCTGTTTTGGAGCACAAGAGATCCTCACACAGCGTGTGGGTACTAGGGTGCATGTGGGCCCTTTCCTTGGCAGGAATGAAGGCTAGATGGGGTGCCAGGATCTGGGAGAGCTTGTGGAAGGACAGCAGCTACAACCTAGGGACACAGTACAGGGCTGGTGATGATTTGTAATTTTACAATTTCTTTGGAGTCGTGTCTCTTGCGCAGGCTGGAGTGTAGTACATGTCCACCCCAGCCTCGACACGTTGGGCCCAGGCGATCCTCTCCCCTCAGTTTCCTGAGTCACTGTCCTACAAAGCCAGCTAATTCTGGATTTATTGTAGATGTGAGGTCTTGTAGTTGATCAGTTGTCACAGCCCCTTGGCTCAGGCAATTCTCCTGCCCTCGCCCTCCTGAATTGCTGGGATTACAAGTGTGAGCCCCAGTGCTATGGTTTTTTTGGGGGGGGAGGTTAGTATGGTATCTGACTTCTTGAGCTCTTAAAAAGCTCTTAAAAAATGTCATAGATCCTTATTTAAAATGTGCTTGGACTGGGTAGCCTGATCCCTCTCTGGCCTGAGAACATCCCAGCTGAAGCCGATTCCAGCAAGTGCTCATACTGGGGTACTCAAAATGGAGGCCCTTTCTTTCTTTTGACCTGGAAAGTGCTTTGATTTTGGGTGTCCCTGTGTGAGGAAGGTATCCATCTGGTCTCAACACAACTTGGGCATTCAGCTCTGATCTGCATCTCCCCCTGCTCGCCAGCCCAGAAGGGACATCAGGCTGCCTCCCCCTGCATTGCCCAGGTCTTTAGTTTTTGTTGTTTTGTATTTGAGTCAGGGTCTCACTCTGCCCCAAGCTGGAGTGCAGTGCCAGGATCATCTCACCACCACTTCGACCTCCAGGGCTCAGGTGACCCTCCCATCTCTGCCCCTCATAGTTGTCTCCACACCCAGCTAACCTTATTCTTTGTAGGCACAGGGTCTCCTTGTGTTGTCCAAACTGCTCTTTTCAAACTTCTGGGCTCCAGCAATCCTGTCTCAGCCTCCCAAAGTGCTGGGATGACAGGTGTGGCACTGCACCCAGCCCTTGAGCGCTTCATAGCTTTGGTGGTGGCTTTCTTAGGTCCTGCTCTGGCGCTTGGTATTTACCCACGCTTTGGACTTCACCAGGCAAGCAAGAAAGGGAACTCTTGCCTCCTGGTTAGCATGAAGCACTCCTGACACCTAGGCATTTCACCAGCAGCCAGTCTAAACTGCTTCTTGCTTACCGGGATTTGGAGTTTGACCTTTTCCCTTCAGTTGTTAACTATCCCTCTTAATAAACTGCTTTTTATTGTGGTGATGCCTTGGTTGCTGTGTTTGCTGTTGACATTGGCGGACTAATGCCCTTAGCCTTGACCTGTGTGGGCCTCCCCACCCCTGCACCTGCAGTTCCTTCACTGTCCCACCTGCAGGCTCTGAGTATGCAGGGAGCTGCGGTCCACATTCTGCAGGGCTCACTCCATTCCTCTGGGCCAGTATCACAATTGGCAAGGATGCCATGGGGCCCATCAGGCATCCCCCCCTCTATACCTGTCTGAACCTGAGGTCCACTGTGTCAGGCCCCACATACACCAAAGCATGTGGCTACAGGCTGGGCCTTTAGTCTTCAACCTTGGAAGCAGCCTAAGGTTTCCATGATAAGTTTCTTCAATAGGCTCCAAGTGGCCTGAGCCAAGACCCCCATGGAGGTTGAGGGCGGGTTGTTTACATAAGAAGCACCTGCACAAGGATGGGGAGGGTAAAGGTGGTTAAGGTCCTGGGAGCTTTGGTCATCAATAAGTTTAATTTTTATATAGGGTGATAGAACATTATTTTTTAAATTGGAGGGACACCTTCGCCCAGGCTGGAGTGCAGTGGCACGCTCACGGCCCTCGCAGCCTCCACATGTTGGACTTGGGCGATCCTTCCACCTCAGCCTTCGAAGTAGCTGAAACTACAGATGCACGCCATCATGCCCAAAGTTTTTGTGATTTAATTGTAGAGCTGAAGTCTCACCAACTTGGGAACATTTTCTGTTGGAGACGGGATCTCATATGGGTGGAATGCAGAGTCACAGTTGGTGGCTCATGGCAACTTTGAACTCCTGGGCTTAGAGGGTCCTCCTACCTCAGCCTCCCAAGGAGCTGGGAAAAGAAGGTATCACCACACCCGGCTAACCTTTTGATTTAACTTTAATTTTTCTGTAGAGATGTGTCACCAACATTGCCCAGGCTTGTGTCAAGCTCCTGGGCTCAAGCAATCCTCCCCCAAAAGTGCTGAGATTACAGGCCTGGGTTTCCGTGCCCAGCTATTGATACCCACAAGTCAGGTGAGTATCTGTTCCCCCAGCTTGTGATGTTAGTCAACTTCAGTGTCCTCTACTCCTCGATTCTGGTTTCTAATTCATGGTTTTAGTGTGGGACACTTGAAACATCATTGCCAAGTTCGTTTCTCCTCTGTTGCTACAGTAGTTTCATGTTTCTTCGTTCAAATCCCCAATAGTGAAACAAAAATTTCTATAGAGTAGAATCACATGTGTTTCACTCACAGATTGCTCTGTATTTTCCTTTTATTTTTTTGAGTCAGACTCTTACTGTCACCCGTGTTGGAGTACAGTGGCACACTCACAAGCACCGCAGCCTCGACCTGCTGGGCTCCGGTGATCCTTCTGCCTCAGCCTTCCCAGTAGCCGGAATTACAGGCATGCGCTACCACGCCCGGCTGATTTTTTTGATTTATTGTAGAGATGAGGTCTCGCTGCCCAGGCGGGTCTTGAACCCGCGGGCTCAGGCAATCCACTCACCTCAGCCTCCCAAAGGTGCGGGATTACAGGCTGAGCCACCGAGCCCGGCTAATTTTTTTTTAATTGTAGAGATGAGGTCTCTATATGCTGGTCTTGAACCAACAGCCTCAGGCAATCCTCTCACATTGACCTCCCAATACTGCTGGCATTAAAGTATTAAAGCATTAAACCCACTGCACCCAGCCTACTCTGCATTTACTTTTTTTTTTGAGTTGGAGTCTCTGTCACCCAGACTGGAGTGCAGTGACCGCTCCCGGCCACTGCAGCCTCGACCTGCTGGGCTCTGGCGATCCTTCTACCTCAGCCTTCCAAGTAGCTGGAACAACAGGCGCGCGCTACCATGCCTGGCTAATTTTTTTTTTTTTTTATCGTAGAGATGAGGTCTCACCAAGTTGCCCAGGCAGGTCTCGAACCCGTGAGCTCAGGCAATTCACTCACCTCAGCCTCCCAAAGCACTGGGATTACAGACTGAGCCACTGTGCCCGGCTACTCTGTATTTTCATTCTAATCCTGGTGGGAGATCCTGGCCAGCTCACAGACGACCCATGGGTGTCTGACCTTGGGAGGGGTCCAGTCACGGCTATGACCTTCAGCCGAGAAGCATCCAGTTGCTGGTGCTGTTGCATAGCAAGTATTCCAAGGGTGCGACCTGGCCTCCACTTAGATGCTTCGTTCCCACAAGGCCTTGCAGCATCCACCTTCTGAGACCAAGTTGCCTCTGGGCGCAATTGACCCCTGGAAACTGTCCCGGGCTTGCAGGCGGTTGAGAGGCATTTCTCGCCACCGCCACTAGATGGCAGCGGTGCCCGCCCAGTGGTGAGATGTCCCTGATACAGCTAGGTGTGTCCTGGAGCCAGATGCCCCTCCTTTTGAGCATAGCAGCTGGACAACACCTGGGCTGCTGCATCCCCTGCTTTGGGACTTCAACCCTCCCTCGCGGCGGCCAGGCCCCACCCTGGCTTCTGTCTGTGCCCCAACATAGTCAAAATCCAGCCTCTCAGGGTCCCCTGCAGAAAGGATGGTTGGTCTCAATCTGCAAGTGAGTTAGTATCGGGGAGATGGTCTCGTCCTTATCTTCCGCTCTCCCATCCCATGTCTTGACGTCAAGGAAACCCGCAGGCAGGGCCCCTCAGCAGCCGATGTCCAAGTGGGGCTTTCTGGCACGCAGGGCCGCCAGCCGTCGGTGGGTCATTTCAGTCAGATCCATTCCAAAGAGCCTGAGGACACGAGGGAGGGAAATGTCACTGCAGCCTGGTGTTGGGACATTCGGTGAGTCAATCTTACTTATCTATGGGGTGTCTTGATAAAGTCATTCCATTATCCTGCTAAGATCCTTTGATAATCCTCCAAAACATCAACCCAACCCTACTGGGAAATATGCTTATTCTTTTTTTTTTTTTTTTTGAGTTGGAGTCTCACTCTATCACCCAGACTGGAGGGCAGTGGCCATTCCCAGCCACCGCAGCCTCGACCTCCTGAGCTCCAGCGATCCTTCCACCTCAGCCTTCCAAGTTGCTGGAACTACAGGCGTGTGCTACCACGCCCGGTCATTCTGATTTATTGTAGAGATGAGGTCTCGCCAAGTTGCCCAGGTGGGTCTTGAACCCGCGGGCTCAGGCAATCCATTCACCTCAGCTTCCCAAAGGCACGGGATTACAGGCTGAGCCACTGAGCCCGGCTGAAATATGCTTATTCTATGCATAATTATATAATTTGTTATTGTTGTTATTTTGAGTTGTGGTCTCACTCTGTCATCAGACTGGAATGCAGTGGCACGCTCATAGCCACTGTAGCCTCCACCTGCTGGCTCAGGAGTTCCTTCTGCCTCAGGCTTCCAAGTAGCTGGAACTACAGGTGTGCACCACCACGCCGGCTAATTTTTTTATTTATTGTAGAGATGAGGTTTCGCCAAGTTGCCCAGACTTGTCTTGAACCCGTTGGCTCAGGCAATCCTCTCACCTTGGCCTTCCAAAGTGTTGGGATTATAGGAGTAAGCCTCTGCACAGGGCCCATATATATATGTTTTTTAGTTGGAGTCTTGTTCTATCACCTAGGCCAGAGTGCAGTTGTTTGACCCTGCTTCACCAGAGCCTCAATCTGGGCTCAAGAGGTCCTTCTGTCTCAGGCTCCCATCTAGCTGGGACTAGTGGCACATGCCACCATGCCCGGCTTATTTTTTTATTTGGAGTGAGCTTCTCATTCTGCCGCCCAGGCTAGAGTGCAGTGGCATGCTCAGGGCTACCACAGCCTCAATCTGCTTAGCTCAGATGATCCTTCTACCTCAGCCTTCCAAGTAACTGGAACCACAGGCACGCACCGCCTCGCCTGGCTAATTTTTTGATTTCTTGTAGACAAGAGCTCTTGCCAAGTTGCCTAGGCTGGTCTCAAACCCCTGGACTCAGGCAATCCTTTCACCTCGGCCTCCCAAAGTGTTGGGGTTACAGGCATGAGTCACTGTGCCTAGGTAATTTTTTCATTTATTTGTAGAGATGGGGTCTTGCTGGGCTGCCCAGGCTGGTCATGAATTTCTGGGCTCCAGCAATCCACCCACCTCGGCCTCCCAAAGTACTTGAATTACAGGTGTGAGCCACCATGTCCCCCCTGAGTGGATACCTTATTTCAAAAATTTCTGGCAAATTTGTCCATATAAGCCTTGAGGCCATGATTTACCCCTGCTCCCGAGTCCCAGCCCCATGTCCCGTCTCCTGCAGAGAGAATAGGGACCGATATCTCACCAGAGGACTCGAAGTTTGCAGCCTGGGTGGCTGAGCCTCTTGCATAACAGCTGGACACCTGTGTCCCCCAGGGCATTGTGGGTGAGATACAGCTCGGTCAAGGACTGACTGGTCCCCAGAGTGGAAGAAAGGTCTTTGCAAGCTTTGGCTGTGAGGCCGCAGCTATCCAGCCTGCTGAGATAAAGAGAGGTTAGAGGGACATGCGGCTCCTTTTATTTTATTTTTTGAGGCAGAGTTTCACTCTGTCACTCAGGCTGGAGTGCAGTAGAGCAATCACGGCCACCCCAGCCTGGACCTCCTGGGTGCAGGTGATACTTCCGCCTCAGTCTCCCGAGTAGCTGGGACTGCGGGTGTGTGCCACCATGCCCAGGTAATTTTTTTCTATATTTTGTAGAGACAAGATCTCACTTTCTTGCCTTGGCGGGTCTCAAACTCCTGAACTTGTGTGATCCTCTCACCCCAGCCTCCCAAAATGCTGGAATGACAGGCATCAGCCACTGCACTCAGCTGGAGCTGAGATTTTACAGAGAAAGACAAAAATTTTTTTTTCTTCAGAAAACCTAGCAAAAAGGACTTTAGTCTTAATTTGGCTGAGAATCCGAGGTGATAGATGTCATCTTCTAAAATGAGGTATAAGCTGGGCTCGGTGGCTCAGCCTGTAATCCCGAGCCTTTGGGAGGCTGAGGTGAGTGGATTGCCTGAGCCCGCCGGTCCGAGACCTGCCTGGGCAACTTCGCGAGACCTCATCTCTACAATAAATCAAAAATTAGCTGGGCATGGTAGCGCACACCTGTAATTCCAGTTACTTGGAAGGCTGAGGCGGAAGGATCGCCGGAGCCCAGTGGGTCGAGGCTGCGGTGGCCGGGAGCGGCCACTGCACTCCAGTCTGGGTGACAGAGTGAGACTCCAACTAAATAAAATAAAATAAAATAAAATGAGGTATAAGATGACAATTCAGGACCCAGAGTGGGGCCCAGAGTCTACAGTCCTAGCTACTCAGGAGGCTGAAACAGGAAGAATCTCTCTTGAGTCAGGAGTTTGAGTCCAGCCTGGGCAACAGAGAGAGACCCTGTCTGTTAAAAAAAAAAAAAAAAAAAAAGACAACAGCTGGGCACAGTGGCTCATGCCCGTAATTCCAGTACTTTGGGAGGTGGAGGCGAGAGGACTGCCTGAGCCCAGGGTTTCAAGACCAGCCTGGGCAGCTTGACCAGACCTTGTCTCTACAATATATCAAAAAATTATCTAGGTGTGGTGGTGCACACCTGTAGTCCCAGCTACTTGGAAGGGTGAGACAGAAGGATCACCTGAGCCCAGAAGTTTGAGGCTGTGTTGACTGTGAGCATGCCACTGCACTCCAGCCTGGGGAACAGAGTGAGACTGTGACTCAAAAAATAAAAAGACAAGTCAGAACTCGCAAAGGATGAGAAAAAACAGCCTGGGGACATTAAAAACATCACGATTACAAGTGCACAGGGGTCAAGCATATGACGATTCAGAGACCCAGGAAGGGCGAGCAAGGAATTGAAGGCAGATTAATTATTTCACATCAGAGGACTGGGCCTTGAGACACGTCCCGTGGGGGCCCCACAGAACTCACAAGGGATCCCCCACAGCATGTCTGCCAGATGGCACGTTCCCAGAGGACCCCAGCAGCACAATTAAGGGACAGATGTTTTCCCTAAATTCTCGTTTCAGCCCTCAGTGACTCAATACCCCAAATAAGAAACCAGAAATGGAAGATTAAAAAAAGAAAAAAAATGTATATTTTGCCAGGCATAGTGGCTCACGCCTGTCATCTCAGCACTTTAGGAGGCTGAGGCAGGAGGATCCTTGATGGGAGTCTGAGACCAACCTGGACAACATAGTGAGACCCCATCTCTACAAAAAAAATTAAAAAAATTAAAAAGCGATGATGACTCATCTGATTTTAAGTTCTTCAGGCTTGGGGCCAGGCTGGTATGGAAGTGTACCAGATTGAAGATTTTGTATGTTTGTTTTTAAGAGATGGGGTTCTTGCCGTGTTGCCCAGGCTGGAGTGCAGTGGCACAACCATAGCTCACTGCAGCCTCAAACTCCTGGGCCTAAGCAATCCTCCTGACTCAGCCTCCCAAGTGCCTGAGACTATAGGCATTATAGTTTCGGTGGCTCAAGTCTGTAATCCCAGCACTTTGGGAGGCTGAGGTGAGAGGATTGCCTGAGCTCAGGGGTTTGAGACCAGCCTGGGCAACTTGGTGAGACCTCGTCTCTACAATTTAAAAAAAAGAAAAGTCGTGCTTGGTAGTGCACACCTGTAGTTCCACCTACTTGGAAGGGTGAGGCGGAAGGATCACCTTTGCCCAGCAGGTCAAGGCTGCAGTGGCCACGAGCATGCCACTTCATTCCATCCTGGGCGACAGAGTGAGACTCCGACTTAACAAAAAAAAGGAAAGAAAAAATTTTTTTTTTTTTTTTTTGAGTTGGAGTCTCACTATATCGCCCAGACTGGAGTGCACTACTTGGGAGGGTGAGGCAGAAGGATCACCTTTGCCCAGCAGGTCGAGACTGTGGTGGCCACGAGCATGCCACTGCACTCCATCCTGGGCGACAGAGTGAGACTCCGACTTAACAATAAAAGGAAAGAAAATTTTTTTTTTTTGAGTTGGAGTCTCACTATGTTGCCCAGACTGGAGTGCAGTGGCCGCTCCCGGCCACTGCAGCCTCGACCTGCTGGGCTCCGGTGATCCTTCCGCCTCAGCCTTCCGAGTAGCCGGAATTACAGGCATGTGCTACCACGCCCGGCTGATTTTTTGATTTATTGTAGAGGTGAGGTCTCGCTGCCCAGTTGGGTCTCAAACCTGCAGGCTCAGGCAATCCACTCACCTCAGCCTCCCAAAGGCGTGGGATTACAGGCTGAGCCCTGCGGGAAAGAAAATTTTTAAAAATGAAAAATAGGCCAGGTGCATGGCTCATGCCTGTAATCCCAACCTTTGGGGAGGCCAAGGTGGGAGGATTGCTTGAAGTCAGGAGTGCAAGACCAGTCTTGCCAACATGGTAAGACCTCATCTCTACAAAAAAGAAAAGTAAAAATCACGCCCAGTGTGGCGGCTCATGCCTGTCATCCCAGCACTATGGGAGGCAGAGGCAAGAGGATTACCTGAGTCCAGGGATTCAAGACGAGCCTGGACAACTTGGTGAGACCTCATCTCTACAATAAATAAAAAAATTAGCCAGGCATAATGGCCAGGCATAATGGCACATGCCTGTAGTTCCAGCTACTTGGAAGGCTGAGGCAGAAGGATTACCTGAGCCTAGTACAGCTAGGCTGTGGTGGCCATGAGTGTGCCACTGCACTCCAGTCTGAGCGACAAGAGTGAGACTCCGACTCAAAATAATAATAATAATGATAATAATAAATATATTCATCTGCATTCCTCTCAAATATGAGTCATCATGTGAAATGCACACTTTTTTTTTTTTTTTGAGTTGGAGTCTCACACTGTTGCCCAGGCTAGAGTGCAGTGGTACGCTCATGGCCACTGTAGCCTCAACCTGCTGGGCTCAGGCCATCCTTCTGCCTAAGCCTTCCAAGTAGCTGGAAACCCAGGCATGCACAACCACACCTGGCTAGTTTTGATTTATCGTAGACATGAAGTCTCACCAAGTTGCCCAGGCTGGTCTCAATTCCCTTGGCTCGGGTAATCCTCTCACCTCAGCTTCCCAAAGTACTGGGATTACAGGTTGAGCCAGTGTGCCCAGTCAATGCACGCTTTTGAATTTCAGTCTCTGACTTTGGCTCTTCCCAAATGAGAAAGGAATAATCCTTTTTTTTTTTTTTTTGAGTCAGAGTCTCACTCTGTTGTCCAGGCTGGAGTGTAGTGGCACAATCACAGCCACCACAGCCTCAACCCCTGGTCTCAGGCAATCCTTCAACCTCAGCCTCCCGAGTAGCTGGGACTGCAGGCACACACCAGCATGCTCGGCTAATTTTTGGACTTATTGTGGAGATGCGGTCTCACCACGTTGCCCAGGCTGGTCTTGAACCCCTGAGTTCTGGCAATATTCTCGCCTCAGCCTCCCAAAGTGTTGGGATGACAGGCGTGAGTCGCCGAGCCTGACTGGGATAATCCTTAAGCAGAAAAAAACAAAGAATGGCCAAACACTCCTGCCCTGTGAGCCTCACCCCCAGCCCTGGACACTCACCACAGCTTCTGGAGTCTGCAGGTAGGGTGCCGCAGCCCCTCCCCCAGCAGCCAGAGGCCCCAGTCTCCCAGGTCATTGAAACTCAGATCCAGGTCCCGGAGGTGGGGGTTGGTCTGGAGCACAGCGGAGAGACCCTCACAGGCGGCAGAGCCCAGGCGGCAGATGCCCAACCTGCAGAGACAGGGCACCAAGGACAGAGGGTCATTCCTGCTGCCGGCGTCCCCTGGAGTGCTTAGGTGCCAAGCCATGTGCTGGTAGAGAAGGGACAATCAGAGTCACTCTCTACGCATGAGAGGAAGAGGAAGAAGCAGAAGCAGGCAGGTGGAAAAGATGAGGGGAAAGAAGGAATAAACCAGAAAAGGGGGCTTGAGCTGTGACTCCTGCTTGTAACCCCACCTACTTGGGAAGCCATGGTGGGAGGATTGCTTGAGCCCAGCCTGAGCAACATAGCAAGATCCTAGCTGTCAGAAAAAAAAATAATGAAAATGTAAAATGAAAGAGCTGGGCTCGGTGACTCATGTCTGTCATTCCAGCGCTTTGGGAGGAAGAGGTAAGAGGATTGCCTGAGTCCATGGGTTCGAGACCAGCCTGGGCAACTTGGCAAGAACTCATCTCTACAATAAATCCAAAAAAATGTAGCCAGGCATGGTGGTACGTGCATGTGGTTCCAGCTACTTGGAAGACTGAGGCAGAAGGGTCACCTGAGTCCAGCAGGTCGAGGTTGAGGTGGCCATGAGCACGTCACTGCACTCCAGCCTGGGCGACAGAGTGAGACTCTGACTCAAAAAAAAAAAAATGTGTATATATATATAAAGAATATCTGGCTTATCTACTGGTGCTGGGCAAGGAGAAAGGACGAGCCTCGGCCAGTGAGAGCCAAGATGGGATAAACAGACCAATTAATTAATCCTAAAGTTTGCATGCAACTCGGGAGGCTGAGTTGGGAGAACCACTTGAGCCCAGGAGTTTGAGTCCAGCCTGGACAACATAGTGAGACCCTTTCTCTAAAACATTTTTTTTTGAGTTGGAGTCTCATTCTGTTGCCCAGACTGGAGTGCAGTGGCCGCTCCTGGTCACCGCAGCCTCGACCTGCTGGGCTCCGGCGATCCTTCCGCCTCAGCCTTCCAAGTAGCTGGAACTATAGGCGCATGCAACCACGCCCAGTTAATTTTTTGATTTATTGTAGATATGAGGTCTCACCAAGTTGCCCAGACGGGTCTCAAACCCGCGGGCTCAGGCAATCCACTCACCTCAGCCTCCCAAAGGTGCAGGATTACAGGCTGAGCCACCGAGCCCAGCCATTTTTTTTTTTTTAAGCCAGGTATGGTGGCTCACGCCTGTAATCCCAGCAGTTTGGGAGGCTGAGGCAGCAGTGAGCTATGATAGTGCCACCACACTCCAGCCTAAGTGACAGAGTAAGACCCTGACTCAAAAAATAGAAAAGGACCGAGTGCAGTGGCTCATGCCTGTCATCCCAGCTGTTTGTGAGGCTGAGGTGAGAGGATTACCTGAGTCCATGGGTTCGAGAACAGCTTGGGCAACTTGGAAAGACTTCATCTCTACAGTGAATTTAAAAATTAGCCGGGCATGGTGTAGCACACCTGTAGTTCCCAGCTTCTTGGAAGACTTAGGTTGAAGGATCGCCTGAGCCCAGTAGCTGGTGGAGGTTACGGTGGCCGCAAGCATACCCCTGCACTCCAGCCTGGGCAGCAGAGTGAGACTCTGACTAAAAAAAAAAATAAAGAAGGAAAGAAAAACCCAGGAGTTCAAGATCAGCCTGGGCAACACCGTGAGAACCCATCTCTACAAAAAAATGTATAAAAATTTTGAAAAACAGGGCCAGGCATGGTGGTTCATACCTGTAATCCCAGCACTTTGGGAGGCTGAGGCAGGAGGATCACTTGAGACCAGGAGCCCAAGACCAGCCTGGGCAACACAGTGAGACTCCATCTTGAGCAAAAAATAAATAAATGAATAAATCTATATATTTAAAGAAACCAGACCAGGAACTCAGACCTTATCTAGTCAGTTTATCAACTCAGACCTTATCCAGCTCAGCCTTTAATCCCATGCCTTTGGGTGACTGAGGTGAGTGGATTGCTTGAGACCGCGGGTTCAAGATCCGCTTGGGCAACGAGATCTCATCTCTACAATAAAAAAGTCAGCCGGGCGTGGTAGCGCATGCCTGTAATTTCGGCTACTCGGAAGGCTGAGGTGGAAGGATCGCCGGAGCCCAGCAGGTCGAGGCTGCGGTGGTCGGGAGCAGCCACTGCACTCCAGTCTGGGAGTTGAGAAAAAAATCAACTGAACTTCTCTGGGCAAAAAAAGGGTCAGCAGAGTGGAAGCCATGCCAGGAAGCAAGAATGGCCTGTGCAAAGTAAGTCAGGCGAAACTTTACAAGAAGGCTGATGTTGTCGCTAGAATGCAGGAGGACGAGAGAGGCGGCCTGGCCTCTGGGCACCCAGATGAGGGCCCAGAGTCTCCTATGATGGCAAGTTTAACTGGACTCACCGCAGCGTCTGGAGTTTGCATGCCGGATGCTTGAGGCCCTCACACAGCAGTAGCACCCCAGGGTCCCCCAGGTCATTCAGACTCAGGTCAAGCTCCATCAGGCTCCGGGTCACACTGAGGGTGGAGGCCAGATCCTCACAGGCACCCACGGTGAGGTGGCAGATTTTCAACCTGCACAAAAGCCGACTCAGCATATATTATGGCATGCTTTCTGTGGTATGCCAAGTTTATCTGCCTCCTCCCCAGTCTTAGAATTCATGTATTTTCAGGCTGGACACAGTGGCTCACGCCTGTCATCCCAACACTTTGGGAGGCCAGGGAAGGAGGATTGCTTGAGCTTAGGCGTTTGAGACCAGCCTGTCTAGGCAATGTAGCCAGACGTCATCTCTACAAAAGATAAATTAATCTGGGCATGGTGGCATGCGCCTATAGTCCCAGCTGCTCAGCAGGCTGAGGTGAAAGGATCGCCTGAGCCCAGGAAGTTGAGGCTCCAATGATCTGTGATTGTGCCACTACACTCCAGCCTGAGAGACAGAGTAAGACCAGACTTTTAAAAAAGAAAAAAACAAAAGAAGTAATGCATTTTCAGACAAACAACCCAATTTTATTTGTTTACTTTCGAGTTGGAGTCTCACTCTGTCACCCAGGCTGGAGTGCAGTGGCATGCTCACCACCACCACAGCTTTGACTTACTGGGCTCAGTTGATCCTTCCACCAGCCTGCCAAGTAGCTGGAACTACAGGGATGCACCTCTGTGCTCGTCTAATTTTTTGGTTTATTGTAGAGATGAGGTCTCACCATGTTGCCCAGGTTGGTCTCGAACCCATGAGCTCAGGCAATTCTCTCACCTCACCCTTCCAAAGTGCTGGGATTATAGGTGTGAGCCACCACACCTGGCCTAATTTTTTTTTTCTTTTAGTTAGAGTCTCACTCTGTCACTCAGACTGGAGTGCAGTAGCCGCTCCTGGCCACCGCAGCCTCGACCTGCTGGGCTCTGGCGATCCTTCCGCCTCAGCCTTCCAAGTAGCTGGAACTACATGTGCGTGCTACCACACCTGGCTAAGTTTTTGATTTATTGTAGAGATGAGGTCTCACCAAATTGCCCAGGCGGGTCTCGAACCCACGGGCTCAGACAATCCGCTCACTTTGGCCTCCCAAAGCGCTGGGATTACAGGCTGAGCCACCGAGCCCGGCCTAATTTTTTGATTTATTGTAGAGATGAGGTCTCGCCATGTTGCCCAGGCTAGTCTCGAGCCCATGAGCTCAGGCAATCCTCTCACCTCTGCCTCCCAACGTGCTGGGATGACAGGCATGTGCCACCGCGCCCAGCCAGTGGGTGCATTTGGACAGCGTCCTTGGATAGAGAAGAGATTTGCTGTCTCAGCTGGCCCCACGAAGACTCACCACAAGGTCCGTAGTCTGCAGACTGGGTGCCTCAGTCCCTGACACAGCAGCCTAAGGCCTGTGTCCTCCAAGGCATTTCCCGTGAGGTCCAGCTCCACCAGGTGTCGGCTGGTGCTAAGCACTGACGCGATCTCCTGGCAAGCCCCGGTCTCCAGCTGACACTTCCTCAGCCTTGGGAGGAGAGAGAGGTTGAAGAGGGGGCACCATCTTGCCTTTTCTGGATCCTAATCACTCATGCCCTGACACTTTTTCTTTTTCTTTTTTTTTTTTTGAGTTGGAGTCTCACTCAGTCACCCAGGCCGGAGGGCAGTGGCAAGCTCCTGGCCACCGCAGCTTCGATCTGCTGGGCTTAGGCAATCTTTCCGCCTCAGCCTTCCAAGTAGCTGGAACTATAGGCATGCACCACCATGCCCAGGTAATTTTTTGATTTATTGTAGAGATGAAGTCTCTCCAAGTTGCCCAGGCTGGTCTCAAACCCATGGGCTCAGGCATTTCTCTCACCTCAGCCTCCCAAAGTGCTGGGATTATAGGCGTGAGCCACCGTGCCTGGCTTCCCTTTTTCTTAAAATTTATTTTATTTCATGGTTTTTTTGCACTCAACTTTTTGGTATTATCATATTTATTACTTTCTTTTTATTTCCTTCTTTTTTATTTTTTTTGAGTCAGAGTCTCACTCTGCTGCCCAGGCTGGAGTGCAGGGGTATGCTTACGGCCACCGTAACCTCCACCAGCTACTGGGCTCAGGTGATCCTTCAACCTCAGTCTTCCAAGTAGCTGGGAACTACAGGTGTGCTGCACCATGCCCGGCTAATTTTTAAATTCACTGTAGAGATGAAGTCTAGCTAGGTTGCCAAACCTGTTCTCGAACTCATGGGCTCAGGCAATCCTCTCACCTCAGCCTCACAAAGAGCTGGGGTGACAGGCATGAGCCACTGCACCTGGTCCTTTTTTCTTTATTTTTTGGGTCAGGGTCTTACTCTGTCACTTAGGCTAGAGTGTGGTGGCACTATCATAGCTCACTGCTGCCTCAGCCTCCTGAGAAGCTGGGATTACAGGTGTGCACCACCATGCACATCTAATTTTTTTAATTTTTATTTTTAGAGACAGGGTCCCTCTATGGTTGCCCAGGCTGAGCTGGAACTCCTCTTGGCCTCAAGTGATCCTCCTGCTGCAGCCTCCCAAAGTGCCAGGACTACAAGTGTGCATCACCACGCCTGACTGGTTTTTAAATTTTTTTGTAGAAACAAGAGTCTCTCTATGTTGCCCAGGCTGGCCTGGAACTCCTGGCCTTAAGCAATCCTCTCTCCTCAGCCTCCCAAAGTGCTAGGATTATAGGTGTAAGCCACTACATCTAGCCTTCACCCTGTTTTTCTGTGTCCTGATTGTTCATGCCTGAGCCCATTAATCACTCAACATGGGCCGGGCTCGGTGACTCAGCCTATAATCCCAGCACTTTGGGAGGCCGAGGTAGTGGATTGCCTAAACCTGTGGTTTCGAGACCCACCCGTGCAACTTGGCGAGATGTCGTCTCTACAATAAATAAAAAATTAGCTGGGCGTGGTAGTGCATGCCTGTAGTTCCAGCTACTTAGAAGGCTGAGGCGGAAGGATCGCCGGAGCCTAGCAGGTCGAGGCTGCGGTGATCGGGAGCGGCCACCGCACTCCAGTCTGGGCGAGAGTGAGACTCCAATTCAAAAAAAAAAAAATCACCCAACATGTGTCACTAAAGCTACATAGATGAACAAGACCTCGTCGCTAAGGGGCATGTACTGTTGTCTCAGGTTCATTGCCTGTAAAATAAGAATGTCAGGTATGGTGGCTCACGCCTGTAATCCTAACACTTTGGAAGCCAAAGAGGGAGGATCACTTGAGCTCATGAGTTCAAGACCAGCCTGGGCAATATAGTGAGGCCTTGTCACTAAAGTAACTCAAAAAATTAGCTGTGTGTGGTGGTACATGTCTGTAGTCCTAGCTACTCAGGAGGCTAAGGTGGAAGGATCATTTGAGCTCAGGAGTTCGAAGCTGCAGTGAACCATGGTGGTGCCAGCCTGGGCAAACAGAGTGAGATCTCACCTCAAAAATAAATAAGCCGGGCTCGGTGGCTCAGCCTGTAATCCCACGCCTTTGGGAGGCTGAGGTGAGAGGATTGCCTGAGCCCGCGGGTTCGAGACCCGCCTGGGCAGTGAGACCTCATCTCTACAATAAAGTCAAAAAATGAGTCGGACGTGGTAGCGCGCGCCTGTAATTCCGGCTACTCGAAAGGCTGTGGCAGAAGGATCGCTGGAGCCCAGCAGGTCGAGGCTGCGGTGGCCGGGAGCGGCCACTGCACTCCAGTCTGGGCGACAGAGTGAGACTCCAACTCAAATAAATAAATAAATAAATAAGTAGGGCATGGTAACTCAAGCCTATAATCCCAGCCCTTTTGGAGGCTGAGGTGGGAGGATTGCTTGAGCCCACGGGTTTGAGACCAGCCTGAGCAATATAGTGAGACCTCATCTCTAAAAAAAAAAAAAAATCAAAAAATTAACAGGTGGTGTGTGTCGGTAGTCCCAGCTACCCAGGAGGCTGTGGCAGAAGGATCACATGAATCCAGAAGGTTGAGGCTATGGTGAACTGTGATTGTGCCACTGCACTTCAACCTGGGCAACAGTGTGAGACTCTGACTCAGAAGTAAATAAATAGGGTGCAGTTGCTCAAGTCTGTAATTCCAGTACTTTGGAAGGATCTCTTGATCCCATGGGTTTGAGACCGACCTGGGCAACATAGCGAGACCTCATCTCTACAAAAAAAAATTTAAAAATTAGCAGGAGGTGGTGACGCTCACCTGTAGTCCCAGCTGAGGAGGAAGGATCACCTGAACCCAGGAGGTTGAGGCTGTGGCGGCCGTGGGATTGAGCCGCTGCTCTTCAGCCTGGATGACAGAGTGAGACCCTGCCTCAAAAAAATAAAACATAAAAATAAAAATAAAGTGGCCAGGGTCTGAGGTCTTGGTTTAGCGTAGGCTTGGATTATCAGCATTTGGGGATACCCAATCCCCTGGAGCCCATGAGCTTGCTTGGAGCCTTTGCAGGGGTCAAGCACTCGCTCCCAGGACAGAGACTCACTGGATCATCTGTAGCCCACACTTGGGGTGTCGGAGTCCCTCCGCGAGCAGCCTCATGCCTGTCAGGCCAAGGCTGTTCCCACTCAGATCCATCCTGAGCAGATTCCTATTGGCCATCAGAGCTGCTGCAAGATCCCGGCAGGCCAAGCTGGAGACACGGCACCGCTTCAGCCTAGGAGGGGGACAGGGAAAGAAACCAGGTCATTTCCTTTGGATTTTTTTTTTTTTTTGAGTGGTAGTCTCACTTTGTCGCCCAGACTGGAGTGTAGTGGCTG